AGAGAGAGAGAGAGCGAGAGCGAGAAAGTCGTACCTCGTCTTTGTATGCTTGTTTGACGAATTGCTGGGTACTTATGGCCAGGTCATCTTCGATCCATCCATCATCCATCAGACTTGCGTCCAGGCCCAAGGCCCAAGGCCTAGACCTCCGTGCTCCCCCACCTGAGCAGAGCCACACCTCCCCCTCCTCACTCTTCCTCACTCACCGGTGCAGGTGCAGGTCGAGTCGTCGACACGAGCATTCGGAAATATCTCGAGACCCTCCCTCCCCGTTCGTGATACCCTCAATCTCATTCTCATTCAACAATACTGGATTGAATACATCTTATCAAGACGGACCGACCAGCCGGAATTGTGCGCCACGCTACAAATGCCAGAGTTACTCTCTCGTATCCATCCTCGTCAGTCTGGCCTCGCTCGAGCTTACAGAACACCTCGGCAACGAGCAAAACGACTCCGTCTAGAAAAGGACAGAAGGCCTCCTCCGTTCGTGCGGCAAATCAACGAAGAGGAGGCGGCGGCGGCGATGGATGTGTGCTCAGAAAAAGCCTTGGAAGGAGGATTACCATACGAAATACCACTGGACGACCATCACCATCACCGTCACCGTCACCTGGACAGAGCAACACTATGTCTACCCCAGTACCGCACTGACGCTATCCTACATGCCGGCGATGAAGGCTTTCAAGCTTTACTGCAGCAATACTTCTCCTCCTCAGCCGAGAGCAATGCATCTGAACGACTGGTGGACCTCAAGGCCAAGCTAAGAGGCGCATCCACGCACGACTTCTGGAGGATCTTGATGGAGGAGATGTGTGATGTCACTGGCTCACAGTGCGGCTTCGTTGCTAAGCGGATGCTCGTAGATGATCAGGACAGCGCTGTGAAGATGCCTCCGCTAGGCGAAGAAGGCTCGTCTCTAATAGGGGTAGCATGCTACGTGAATGATGGTGCCGGTGTGAAAGAGTTGCATCGAGAGTACAGATACAATGCTTACGGGTCCCCGTGTGCTCACATGAGACACGACAAGGTCTTCATCGTTCCGGAGAGGCTGGCCGAGCTCTCTCCCAACAATCCACACAAATTCCCGTGGAAGCGGTCAGAGGCTTACATCGCGCTCCCGCTCTTCTTCGAAGGCAAGTGCTTTGCCCATTTCGGCATGATCTGGTCTTTGGAAGGCTCCACGAAGCGGACGTTGAGTTGGTCGTTCATCGAGATGTTTATGCACTCCCTGGAGGACATGATAGTGCAGCGGATCTTGGAGGGAAGAGGGCTTGTCAAAGAAATGGCACCACCTAAATCAACACCCACCAAGACCACACCGCTTGCTGCATTAATGGCTTCACAATCGCTGAAGCCATACGCCCGAAGCCTGTCGCACGAATTGAGAACGCCAATGCAAGGCGTGGTTGGTATGCTCGATATCATGTACTCGACTATTCTGGATTCCATCACCAACCAGCAGAGCGAGCAAGTACGTTCTGTTTTTAGCGACCTGAAGAACCACATTGAGATCGTTCAAGGTATGCTTGCGTGTGCGACCTCAGATCTGGTAGGTAAACTAACGAGAACCAACAGAGAGTTCTAGAAGAGCTATAGAGGCTGCCGATAATGTTGTGCATGCATACGACCTCAACATGCAAATGCCCGAGACTCCTTTGACGCCGACTGATGAGCAGTCATTCCACGGAATAGCAGTCCCAGAAACGCCCCTACCGCATAGACGGTGGCCAAGCGCAGGTTCGCTGCCTTCATTAGCCGGAACGAAGCACGCAAGAACTCATCCGATTTTCGATATTGAACCTCCTCCTATGAAGAAGAGACCTTCCGCGACAAAGGCCGAAACACCGCATTCATATAGCTCCGACGATTGCAACTATCTTTCCAATGGAAAGACAGGGAGTGGAGCCTCTGGTCCTGCGATAACTTCATCGACAGCGGATCCTTCATCCACAGACATCCTTTCCAAGGCACGGTTCGACTCGAAGCATATTGCATCCGCTGTTACAAGCTCTACTCACCGCCGTATCGAGACCCGGCATTTCATGCGAGGCCTGGTGAACGAGGCTCTATGGCACGGCCGACCTATAAGCGAGACTCGTGAAGAAACCGAACTGGGCGAACGGATCCACGTCAGATCTATCGGTTCCCGGGGCGAGGTGCAGGACAGGGTCATACAATTAGAGATTTCGGCCGATGTCCCTCAGGTGATCATCACTGAAGAGCAGCATCTCCAGTTCGCAATTCAAAAACTCGTGGATAATGCCATCAAGTTCACAGAGCATGGTACCATCACGATCACGGTCAGCCTTTCTACAATGTCCGAAGGGGTTGAGATTTCCGTGCGGGATAACGGGTGTGGTATTTCTGAAGAATCCAAATCGAATCTCTTCAAGCCTCACTTTCAGGAAGACGCTTCCATGAGCAGGTCACGGGATGGTCTAGGCCTGAGTCTCTTCAATGCTAAGGCGCACGTGCGGAGGAATCTAGGAGGCGACGTCACGTTGGAAAGGTCTTGCACTCATGGCCCGATGAAGGGGTCCGAGTTCCTTATCCGATTGCCTCTATCAGCACTGGAAAAGGGCAAGTCGGACACGCCTATAGTCGGAACATCACCGCTTTCGGGCTATCAAACGCCCAGACCGTCGCCACTGCTCGGACCTATGATGGAATCCAGACTCACGTCGACACCTTGTAAGGGCATACGTCATCCTTGGGCCAAGTCCGCTCCTCGCAAACGCGCTGTCTTCAATCCCAAGCTTGCAAGCGACTATCCGTTGAGATTCCTGATTGCCGAAGACAATGCGATCAATCGGAAAGTGGCTATCGGATCCCTCGGTAAGCTTGGCTATGATAGGTCCAACATCACACTGGCGTTCGATGGCCTGGAGGCAGTCAAACAATACAAAGCGTCACTTAGCAGGCCCCCGGCAGAGAGATTTAACGCGATTTTGATGGACATTTGGATGCCCAACCTGGATGGCTACGAAGCGACGGCGGAAATCATGAAGTTGGCGGGATCGCATGGCGAACCGATATCCATCATCGCTGTGACGGCGGACATCACAGAGGCCTCGGTTGATCGAGCAAAAGCGAGCGGGATGCATGGGTTCCTGGCGAAGCCATACAAGGTGTTGGATCTCGAACAGTTGATCATTGAGCACTTCGGCTAGGCAGTCTAGGTATGGCAACAGACGAAAGACAAGGAGACGAGGAAGCGATTGATTCAAGATGTGATCATATTGGAGTTTTCGTGTGGATAACTGGGGGGACTGAGCAATGCATCTTAGCGATTTGTAGGTTTTGGAGTTCGGGAACAAAGCATCGGAAACGGGATGGAAGCGAAAACAAGCGGAGGATGGCGTCTGGGAGTGAGTTTCAGGATGGCATTTCAAGCCATCTTTGGGGTAAACACTGGGGTGGGAGGACCTTATGATCATCGGACGGCTGCATCTTTTGGCAATGATGAAAGAGGATCTACATGCGCTGGGCAGCGCCGGAACCCAATAACAATTTACAATTATACTCCCACTGATTACCTTATTTGTGGCGTCGACTTGGAAGCAAAAAGTCAACACGTGAAAATTTATGGTGTTGTCTCTTTCCCCCAGGGCCACCCGTGAAGAGAAAAAGAAACCCCCTCAGGCGAATGCTATTAATCAATCGGAGAGTCTCCTGTGATTCATATCTTATGCAATAGGATTTAGATATCTTTCCAAGATTAGTCACGAGACTGATCCTGGTCCGTAATAGAGTTTAGCGTCTACCCCAGGTTTTACTTACGTGTGGCTGCACCATGACGATACGCCTGCAAATCAGGCACAGGGCTCAACATCACGAGCTCAATCCTTCCGACTCGCCTCTTCTTCGCAATCCTTCCGACCGCATCTTCTTCTCAACCACCTTACCACTCTACCTAATATGTGAACGCAACCATCGAGGATGCTTCTCTCTAGCATCATCTACAGTCTCATTACGGCGACACTCGTCGCAGCGCATCCTTCCATCCCTCCGCAGACACCAATCCTCAGCCCCAAACCCTCCGATCATGACAGCAGCACCAACAACATCTCCCTCGCGCTCTTCGCCGAGCTCGAAGAGCTCTCGCGCATCGTCGACATCTCCTACTGCGTCGGCACGACCGGCATCTTCAAGCCGTTTGTCTGCGCCTCCCGCTGCGCCGAGTTTCCCGCCTTCGAGCTCGTCGACACCTTCAACACCGGGCCCTTGATGAGCGATTCTTGCGGTTACATCGTGCTCGACCACGGGTCGGGATGGGTGGGGAATGGCCGAGTGCTGGTCGTGTTCAGGGGCACGTATAGTATCGCGAACACGATTGTGGATCTGAGTACCGTTCCCCAGGAGTATGTGCCGTTTCCTGGGAGCCCGGATAGCTCGAGTGAGCCTGCGGTGGGCAGGGAGAGGCACCATAGGTCGTGGCGGGACTGGATCCCGTGGCATAGGAAAGATGGGGGGGAGAGGAAAGAGGAGGTGTCGGAGATGGAGGAAGAGGAGTCTAAATGCTTGAACTGTACGGTGCATACGGGGTTCTGGACGTCCTGGCAGAACGCTAGACGTTTAGTCCTCCCGCATATTGCGGCGCTACATCTGCAGTACCCGGATTACCGCCTTGATCTTGTTGGACATTCGCTGGGCGGAGCCGTGGCCGGTCTTGCGGCGCTGGAATTCGACGCCCTAGGACTCCAACCTGTTGTCACGACGTTCGGGGAGCCGAGGATTGGGAACTCGGGGTTGAGGAATTATATCGATAAGAAGTTTGACCTACCTTCGGAGCATGGGATTAATGGGAGCAAGGAGGTGAGCAGTGGACGATACCGACGGATAACGCATATCGATGACCCGGTCCCTCTGCTTCCGCTGCAGGAATGGGGATACAGATCGCATGCCGGCGAGCACTTCATCTCGAAAGCGTCACTGCAGCCCACCCTCTCCGACATCCGCCTCTGCTACGGCGACGAAGACACAAATTGCATCGCCAGTTCCGAAGCTGGCGAATCGTGGTTTGACTACGAGGTTGCTACAGACGCTGCCAAAACGTATAACGAGCTTGAAGGCGACGCCGACTTCGAACAGAATGACAGGACTAGCGCCGAGGGACTGGGCAAGAGATGGGGTATCCCGATCCCGGCGCGGTATAAGATGTGGCAGCTGTTCTTCGCGCACAGGGACTATTTCTGGCGCTTGGGGCTTTGCGTGCCGGGTGGCGATCCGTTGGATTGGGGGAGGGACAAGTATCGGTTTGGAGATGAAGGGGGAGGAGACGGAGAGCAGCAGGAGGCGATGGAGGAACTGTAATTACCAATTCGGCTCGTGAGTGTGGATGTGAAAATTGTAACTTGTATATTGTACATCAATAGCGACGACTTTTCTTCCTCTTCTCTTTTTTGCCATGCGTCTTTCAAGCGCAGCATTCGTTCGTTCGTTCATCTGGGATTGGGTCCTCACCTACGCTACACCACGTTACGGCATCCATCCACCAATCCGTCCGTCTCTTGCGCGCAGGCGGATGCATGCGGCACGGCTGGGGATTTTGGTTCGTGATGGCTCTCGCCCGCCGGACGATCGCTGTACCGTAGAGTAGACTGTAGACAGACACCCAAGAAGATGAAGATACGGCTCACTCACGACGACGACTGGTCTATCCGCATCCTCAACTTCCCAATATCCTCCGGCGTAGTCTTACAACAGCCTCCCACGAGGATCGACTTCCAGAGTCCCCTCTCCGTCGCCCTCTTTACAATCCCCCACATGGTCTCATCCCAAGACATCTACACACACACACACCAAAGTCAGAGTCAGCCTTGTCTTAGCACTTCCATTCTGCAGACGCACGCGAGGTCCAGGAGCCGACTCACCATACTCTGACTCCCCGCAGCAGCAGCCTTCACCCATTCCTTCGTCGTGGTGTCGTAGACCTCTCCATTCGTGCCGTCCGGATACACCACCAGACTGGGCCACTCGGCCTCGCCCTCCGCCACCATCTCCCGCACCTCGCTCTCGAACTCCAGAACCAGGCTCTCCACCTTGCCCACCTTCGTGCAGTTGAGCCCTACCCCCATCGGCACCGCCATGCCCTCCCCCTTCCCCAGCATACTCCTCACCACATCCCTCACGCAAGTCCCATCCGGCAAGCGGTTCCCCTCGCCCGGAAAGACGCAAGCGATCCAGAAGTCCCGGGCGCCGCCACGCACCCGACCCATGACCCTCCTCACAGCCTCGATCTCCAGCCGCAGAGGCAGCGTCTCGAACGCCACGAACCCGACCTCCTTCCACACCCGCACCTTCTCCTCTTCCTCGTCCCCATCCCCATCCCCATCCCCATCCTCATCCCCATCCTCATCCCCATCCTCATCTTCGGGCCCCTCACCACCACCACCACCACCACCACCACCACCACCACCCTCAAAACTCCCCACCCTCTCTCGCCCCGGCACAAACGCCCTCATCCGCTCCCAATGCCAGCTCTCCAAGCCCGCAACACTCATCCGCTCCTCGTCATACCTCCCGCTATACTCCTGGCTCGGGACCATCGTCGCGCCATACGCGCCCAGGCTCAGCGCCACCTTCCCGCCCCCGCCCGCCGGCGAGCCCAGGAAAGCATCCCGCGCGACATCCACAGCGCTGCGCATCAACTGCGCAGCGGCCACAGCATCGATCCCGGCACGGGTCCGCGCGAAGCCGGCGAAGGAGGCCTGGTAGGTGGCGCTGAGGAGCACGTCGGAGCCGGCGCGAGCGAAGGCCGCGTGCGTGGCTCGGAGCGCGGCTGTGGGGTCGGAGATGAGGAGGTGGGAGGACCACTGATGGGGGGGGGACGGTCTTGGTGTTAGCGTGAGTAGCACTAAACTCTTTCTTTCTCTCTCTCTATCTTCTCTCTCTCTCTCCTCGTCTCTCTTCTTCTTCTCTTCTCTCTCTCTCCGTCTCCCTGATCCCAAATAAAAATGGAAATAAAAAGTAAACTCTCAATCAACACAGACACAGACAGACACCCCACGACAGAAACCCAAACCAAACCATAATTGGCCGCAAAAAAAATATACATGTACATATGCATATGAAAAGCTACCTACAAGCGGGGTACTGTCGTTGAAAACGCAGCCGTGCTCGTCAACCAAGCTGGTCCCGAGTCCGCCATCGAGAAGGAGGATAGGGACGTGAGGTGCAGGCGGGGGAGGCGTCTTTGTTGATTTAATTGTTGACATTATGGGAGAGCGGAGAACGTC